TTGGTCTCATTTTACAAATATCATATATATCTTTTAAAGGAAAATAGGGACATTTCAATGGATCTCAAATTTACACAATAGCAATAATTAAATGAAAAGGTAAAATCAATTTTCAACAATAACAATTTCCAACAAGTTACCATTTCCACAATAACTAATTTCCCAGCAAACCAATTCCACCATAAACTCCTTTCCACAATAAACCATAATCAACTATTTACACAATAAACAATAGCCCACAATATATATCAAATTACAACTTGTATCTCAGATATGATGTATGACATCACATGAATAAATACATCGAGAATATCCTGGCCCACACACATACACCTAATCCTCACAAGGATATCCAACTTTAGGAAAAGCGTATACCAATGTATTGGCAGTGACAAATCTAACCTANACAAGGATATCCAACTTTAGGAAAGGCGTATACTAATGTATTGGCAGTGACAAATCTAACCTAGGAATAGTATACTAACCCTCAGTCTCAGTACCATGTGAGCGAATAGTGGTTTGGTCCTCGCAAGGCACCAACTCCATTACAAGTGGTAGGAAAAATTCAAACCTGCACGGAGTAAGAAACGCATCTACCCACTCTATGATACCCGGTCAACGACCACCCATGGTCATCCAAACATCCATAAGAGATATAATACCCAATCAATTTCTCCAATTCCAAGTAAAATCTAAAATTCCCAAATTTCACATGTATTATTCCGATAAAATAATTTAAGAAAATATGCAAGAGATTATTAAAAATACCATTTTATTTTTCAATACCAAACACTAGAGTTTTAAATCAAGAGCAAAGGAAAAATCAATTTCTCTTGAAAAACTAGGTTTTGATGTCAAAACAAGGATTTTTATGGCTTTTAACCCATAACTTCACTCAAAACATGAGAAGGTTTGCAATAGCATCAAGAAACAAGGATATCATAACATATATCTAAGATTTTGAAGCAAAACATACATAGATATAAACCCTAGCCTCAATGGACAAGAGTGGTAAGAAACCCCTGCCTTTCTTCTTCCTTGGTGTTCTTGAAAAACTAAAAATTTTGATCTTCTTCAATGTGCAAATCCTTCTTAATCTTGTGTTTTCCCCTTATTTCTTCCTCTCTAAGTCTCTCTAGGGTTATAAATGTTGCAATGGGGCTAATGAAGGTGCCTTAAGTATTTATAGTAGAAGAAATAGTCTCTTGTGCGCGATTCTGAAACTCAGAATTCGTAACTCACGTTCGAACGTCATTTGGCATTCAAACATCCATAGTGCAAATTATTGATTCACGTTCAAACGTCATTTTGGCGTTTGAACGTTGGTTGCTTTCAGTACTTTTACATTTTCATCAAAGCTCTGCAGACACCAAAGTATTGGGACTCACTATCGTTCGAACGTCCATTCACGTTTGAACGTCCTCCTAGTTTTTGCTAAAACTTTCAGTAAAATTTTTTCCTATTTCAAGATCGATTTGGAAAATTTTTGTGACATACTCTTTTGTAGCCCCAGAAGTCTACCATCTACTGTCAAAATTTTAGAACAAATGGACATCAAAGTAAAAAGTTATGATCAAAACACTAGGGATGTATCAAAACTCCTTCCTACTCAAATTCTTTCTAAAATGTGTTTGAACTCCGAAATACATCCAAACTTCTACATACTCTATTACCTCAACTAACATTTTTATTTCTACTCTTACAACCTACATATTTTGTACCTACATCATTACATATATTAGCATTTCAAAACATAATTACATTACTATATAAAGATAAGAATGTGAGGATTTATATTTATTAAAATAAAATCAAAAATAAAAATCTATTTTTTTCTTAAAAACTCATAATTGGTAGATTACTATACTGTTTATTAGAATAAAACAAAAAAATCAAATAAGTGTTCAAACTGTAATTGACACAATACCTTCTAGATTTAATTGGGGTAATTTGATAGTTTAATTTGGTCGTTTAAATGACCAAACTAAATTCCAATAGATAGTATAATTGCATATTAATTATAATTTTTAAATAAAAAATTAAATTTTTAATTTTAATTTTATTTCAATAAATTATACAATATAACATAAATTTTAGTTGTAAAATTTAAAATATTTGATATTATATCTTTGATTAGAGTATTTTTAATCTAAGTATAACATTTTAAAGTTAAGGGGTCCAAGTGTTACGCGGATACAAACTGCAGGGGTGTAATTTACCAATGAATAACATTGACGGCACAAGTGTAAGTGTTATGCTTACAAACTTTAGGAGATATGTTTGTAATATTTCAAATGTCATGGATCTGAATGATTAAATGATAAATCTCAGGGGTTCTAAATGTAATTCTCCTTTTTTTTCCTCCCTTTATCCGTCTTTAGCCCTCTCTCTCTCTGTTTCTCTTTCTCTCTCTCTCTCTCTCTCTCTCTTTGTTACGCCCCAGCGACACCACCAGCAAACCACCATCGTCACTTCGTCAACAACACCACCACAACTACCGCAGTTGATGTCAGTCCTTACCCTCTTTCTCTCTATTACGCCCTAGCGACTCCACTAGCAACACCACCACCTCAAGTTTGGCTCCTCTACGATAAGTGGGTTACCACATATCATGCGGTTTAGTGAAACAACATCGTTTGGATGGCTTTTGCAATTTTTTTTTAATTCCTTGTCAAAAACGGCATCGTTTAGCTAGTCCTTGCAATCAAAATAAGAAATCCCTTTCTCCCTTTTTTTATTCGTCAAATTGTCGCTTCCTTCTCTTTCAGTCTCCCTCAGGCGCCTCCTCTCTCTCTGTCTTCTCCTACCGTCGATGACTAACGACCTCCGCTTACCCTCCGCCAAGAAGATGACGTTGTCTTCTTTCCCTCTCTCGCCAATTGCTGACCAGTGACCAGGTAACCCATATTGTACTCTCTCTGCCATCTCTCTTTGTGTCTTTTCTCTTTTGCTAATCATTAACCAGCAACATCAATAAATTCTAGTGATTGGTTTGTGCTACTATTTTTGGTTATTGATTTTACGAAAATAGACCTAATTTCAAATTTTTTGGACTGATTTCAGGTTTTGCAAAAAATAGAACTAATTTCAGATTTGGTTAATTATTGGAGATTGGTTAACTAAAGGACTATGTATCAAAATTTTGTGGACCGAACTCCCTGCAATTGGTTTTTTTTTTTTCATTTATATTCCTATAATTTCTCAACAATCGGGAGGAACTACGTTTTGTATTTTTCAGTTGATATATAATGTGATGTATTGTCAAAAATTGTTTTACGATCCAGATGTTTGGCAAATTTGAATTTTTATGGGATTGTTTTCATTAAATTCTGATTCTCTGTTGACATCTGAGGTTTTTGAATGCTTCTTTGTTAATTGCAGGGATTATTTCTTTTTTGAATGCTTCTAATGGGTTGTGGAATGTAGAGTGAATATGAATGAATGAGCTGCTGCATTTTGCTATACTAGTACTGCAGTTTATACCATGAATGAATAAACATGAATGAATGAATGTAGATTAAACGTTTTGCTATATCATCACTATAGTTTGGAGCACTACTGCAGTTTGTTATACCAGTAATATGAATGAATGAATTGCAACTTATATTGTTGAATTTTAATTATCATTGTCCTTTTTATGTTTGTAGTGTTAAAGAATGACATCTTCAAGCACGACAATAAACAATGACGAGTTAAGATATCGCAATATGCAATGCATCAATTGTAAAAAAAGAGTGATTATCAAAGTTTTTGAATCTGAAAAAAATCTTGGAAAACTATACTACAAATGTCTGGACGAAAAATGTCAATTTTTTAAGTGAGAGAAAGACTTTTTTTCTTCAACTTGACGAAGAAGAAGCAAGAGAAATAAAAGGGATTTCTAAATTTGCTTGCAAGGATCAACTAAACGACGCCGCCTTTGATAAAAATTAAAAAAAAAAATTACAAAAGTCATTCTTACAATGCCATTATATTTAACCACATAATATGCGGTTACCCACTTAGCGGGGCCGCAACCCCCCCCCCAACCCCACCGGGCCACTTAGCGTACAGGAGGCGCCTGCGCGCGCCCCCCCCCCTATCAGTCCTCTCTCTGTTGCCCTTCAACTCCCAAGTGACCATCGGCACCGACGCCCTCCCTCTCAAACAGGTATGTCGTCTTGCTACCGAGGATTGAAAACCACACACACATATGTTTTCATCCAACACCCCTCTCTACTCATCTCATTCCCCTCCCTTTCTCTATCATTTTCCACTGTCCTAATCCCACCGCACGGCCCCAATCCACCAACCACAACTACTATCCCCGCCCTCCTCTCCCCAAACGATTACAAGCCACCACCACAGCCCTACCAAGCAAATAAAATGTTTATCGAAATGCCCGAGTGTTGGGCAACCCCCTCTGTTTCTTTGACTTATTCCAGAAGGCCTGATATTTTTTGTGATTTGCTTTGATTTGAAGGTGAGTTTCTCAAATTAATTGATTCAAACAGATTGACGCCTCTCTATTTCTCTGCGTGCTTATATTTACTAATTTAGGGATAACTCTAATGTGATTTTTGTTGAGTTATTGGTTTCAAGTTGAGATTGATTTGCTTTGGCCTAATCGATTCCCACTCCCCCACCCATTCTTTATTTCCATTTTGATTTTGATTTTCCTGTTCTTTCAATTTTGGTTTCCAATTTTTGAAGTAAATTTTTTATTGGATTGCTATGGATATTAAATAATTTTGAAGTTTTAGAAATTTAAATCGAAATTTACAGGCTGCTGTGGTTGATTTGGATTTTCAGTGTTGTTCCTGGTGAGAAGGGCTCTCAAAGACACTCTGAATTGGATGTATCTTTTGGCCTTTACGTATTTTTGCCCAATCCATTTGACTTTTTTTCCCTTCTTCAACAGAAATTCATCTTGAACTCTTGGGAAATGAAAATTTTCACGCTCAACAACTACTAGCAAACTGTGAACCAAAAACTTTGATCTTTTGTGCCATGTATATGCCATGGATGTAGCATCTCAAAGAAAGGTAATTATCTGCAAGGCACCTAATTATTTGATTGGTGGTAGTTGAATTTTTAATGGTTATCTATGAAATGGTGAATTTGTTGTGGATTTTGGATTAAAGCTATTAAATGATATGATTGTAGTTTAATATTGGGTGTGAATTGTTGAAATAGGTCATTAATTTGTGTCGTTGGAGAATGTAGGCCACATACCTGCAAATCCATAGTTGGATGTTTATGTCCCTCAATTTACTTGAGTTAGGCCTTTGGTTAAATGATTAAGGAGTGATATAATTGTAGGGGTGCCGTGATGGAATTTTGGGGTCCATTTGGAAATAAAAGTGTACAATTGATGCAAGATTTTAAGAGAAAAAAAAAATTCCATTGTACAGTTTTATGACTTTTGCATAGCTGTGATTTTCTTTATTGGATGTTTATTATTCTTAATCATCAGAAAAAATTCATGTGTGTTTATTGCTCAAGTGCGATCGCCTCACTATAGATTTATGATCTCTTTACTTGATTTTTTTTATATAGAAGTGTACTGAACAAATTTTATTGTGATTTTTCTGAAGTGTTCTTTGATTTCTCCCTTTTGTGAAATAGATAGAAAACAAACCACAATATTGCCGAGATGGAGCAGAGCTGTAACTCAGCTGTATAAAGTTGGACCCTAAAGGAATATAGTAGAGATTTGTATGTTTTTTAATCCCAAAGCTATTCTAAAGTTGCAGATGCCAAGGTACCAAGTCCAACCGATCATAGTGAGAAAATAGTTTGTAGCGCTGGACAAAGCATCCTCAACATCGACATCTCAAGCTTCTACACATTTTGTGAGCAGGAGGTGACCCATTTGGTGCACCTACAAAGCTGTGGCCATGGGAAGATGGTACCAGTCTATTGACAATGGCCAATTGGAGGAGTAAGATGAACCTAAAGTAGCCACTTTCACTAATTCATCTAATGTACTGTCAAGTAAAATTAAGCTTATTTGGAACAAATTCATGATGTAGTGAGACCGAAATTTGAGTTCTTAACCAAGCTTGGAGTAGACTAGTGGTGCTTCCATGATGGCACCTTTAATGTACAAGTAGTCCTTAAATCCGTGATTGATTTTCGCACCCCTCCTAAGGTATTGATCTACAATAGTCTGCTTGAGAAAAGTAAGGCATAAGAGTCTTCAAGGAAATTAGTATGAGGGATATGCCTATCCTCTGTGATTCTTTTCTTTGGGAAAGGATATTTGCATTGCTAATTCAGGAATTGTCAACTTGATTGGTTTTTGGTATTTTAGCTTTTTTCATTTTCGTTCTTTTTCTGAGTTACTTATTTTTGTTTCTACAATAACTTGAGTGGGAAGTTCTGGAATTGTATTAGAGTAACTTGAACTTGGGCGAGGATTGCCTACTTAGACGTTTGATTAACTAAATTTTGCTCATGTTGATATAATTTGTTGAATCCTGGTGATAAAGACCCCAATGCTAAATCTACTGGATTTTTTAGGCCTTTGGGTTTCAATGTACACAAATTTAGGATTTGAGTAGGATGTCTATGCTGATTTTAATGGGTATATTTCTAGGACTTATGTTAAATCATGAAAGTAAAATAAATAGATGGGCGTTTACTTTGAGCTTATGCTCAAGATAATTGGTATTGTCTACTTTGAGCCTGCACATGTGCTATTTGAAAAAAATGTTGTCAATATTTTCAGTCCAAGTTTTAAACTAATTCATTATGGATCACTGCTCATTTGTCTTTGTAGAATTTTGTCGAACTAGGGCCGAAGTCGAAGTGGTTATTTTACAACGTGTCAGCCCACAGTTTGTGTACATGCATGCACATTGTGCACACAAACCTCTTGAACTACAATGCGGCTATGATTTGTTACACATGCTATGACATTTTAATAGCTGCACTTTTTATCATCAAAGCAAGCAAGAGTATTGTAGAAAGCTGAAGCGTTGCAACGAAATGGTTTCCAATTGGTAACTTGTTCGTTTGTTTACAATTAGTATTATTATGGTATTGTAGTTGACAAATAATTGTATTTCTCCGGTATTGTGGGGCAATGGTGGGTACATCTAGAGTATGGTCATGAAATAGTTAGGTATATTTTAGCCTGATTAATTACAAATTGTGTAATTCAAGAAAAAGAAGTAAAAATATTTTTTTTTTTGTTGCACAATGCCTTCGGTTATTGGTTTGAGTCGTGTTTCTTTAAATTAAGAGGATTTTTTGTTTTTGTGTGTTGTGAACAATGCCTTCAGACACAGAGACTTTGTTGCAATTTTTTTATTTGTTATATAGTGTCTTTAAGTACGGACAATTACTAGTATATATACATATATCAAAAAACAATGTCCTATCAGCCAAAACAAAAACCAAGGCAACCTTCGAACAAGGCAATACAATCAGATATGTTGAAGAGGCTAGTTGTCACGGGGGGTAAATTACAAATGAATTTTTGCCTTGCAATGGCACAACGATCCAACATTCAATCCTTAGTCAAACACACAATTGCTCACAAAATATGGGCAAGAATCAAACACACACAGAGGCACACAAGATTACAGGACAAACTACCCAATCTTATTCTTCTCAACAAGCTTAAAGGATTTCGGCTATGGGTCTACTTACAAAAACATGACCAAACTCTCTTGGTTCACTGCAGACCCAACATGTGTATATAAAGCATACAATAGTAGTTAAGAGCCCAACACCTAGGCAATGTTGACACCAACTAGCTCTGGCCACCTTAGCCATGCAGTTGACATCCCCAACTGCTAGGATTGCAAGCACCAATCAAATTCGCTCTCAAGAGTTGTGGGTGGTTCTGACACTCTCCCACAATCTACTAAACATGGCTGAGTCTGTTTGCCACTCCCCCACAATGTGTTGATCATAGCAGGAGCAGTTATAATTGTCGACTAACTCAGTTGTCAACTGCTTGCAACCACTCAGCATGTTGTGCACTTGCCAACAACTGCTCGGAGCTGCCACCATATGTTGTGCACATGCATCAACTGTTTAGAACCACCTCACCTGAGGTGCACATGCCATCAGTTACTCGTAACTACCTCAATTGATGTGCACATGTTTTCCTTGTGAGCCTACAACACCTAATTTCCCTTACCTGCATGCCAAGCCATACCCAGCCCATGACTTGGTCTTCCAAGCTTGTAATGCATCACAATTCGAGCCCACACGACTAGCCTTGATTGCTTGCTTGTGCCCAATATGCCCATGCATGTGCTGCCTTCCTCACCTATGCATAAGGCTTTCTGCCAATGACGGGTCCCACTGAACATCGACCCCACATCTCGGGTCTTGGACTTTGGAATGGCCACACTCAAGACAATTATTTGTTGAGGTCGTGTCTTACTTTAGTGTGCCAAGGCTAGGGGGCATAGGGGCTGCTTGCTTGGCACCCATTCGCGGAGCACTCTCATATAATAGCGTTAGTGAAAAAAACCCTAGTAGCAGCAACAAACATCTTTTGAATCGAGGAGTTATAAAGACGAGAGTCTGGGGCATAGTCACTCTATACCACCTGAAACTTTTGTTGAACACCTTTGATACCAAACCAATCATATGACCAAGTCTTTAGGAAGCTATTTTCACACAACATAAGTGTTTGGCTAAGAACTCCCCCAATTTGGCTAAGGCATGGGGCACCACTGGGCTAGTACCCGCATTCCATAGCCGTACTCACGAGCTAAGGGGTAACACTAGTACATCTCAAAATCCATGCACAAGAACCATAGTGCATTGCACGCCTTATTTGGTTTGAAATTTCAAAAAGATTAAGGCAGTGAATGAGTTAATTACTACTATGCCGCACTTTCCAAACATATATACCAATTTATCATTGTTTTGAACTTATTTATCAAAATACAACAATTTTTAAAATCGTGTTTATCAAACACACTTTTAGAGTGAAAGTGTTTTCGACCCACGCCAATTTTGTGTCAATAAAAATTTTATTGTACCATACAAACATGTTTGATAAACATGTTTTCAATTGAGAGCGTATTTGAGAAACACACTTTAAATTGAAAACGCACTTTAAATTGAAAAGCGTATGCGTTTTGGTTTAATAAAGCATGTTCAAATAAACACGCTTTATATACATATAGACATATACCCGTGCTTGAAAACACTATGTAACCGAAAAATCAATAATTAAACAAGATTTGTGCCTAAAGAAATTGTATACAAAAAAATTGACAATTAGGAAATATAAGAATCCATTCGGCGTTCAATTTATTTGAAATCTTCATATCTTTGTTTAATTTGGGCTAGTAAATTTCATAAAATGTGGGCGATGTTATCTCTAAAAATTGGACATAAAATTTTTTTAACTTATATACACGATTCATAACCATACCCTAAAATTCTACGAAAGTTGAACTCACTATCACGCTCCAATGCACACATAAACACCATATTCATCTACTACGGCAACATTAATAGATTTCATAATTGCACATGCTTGGATTCTACACTCACATATCAAACATGACCAAGAAACATGCTCCACTACTCTAGAAATTCTCGTATATTTGGAGCTCAATATGAAATTTTATTTTCTTGCAAATCCGTTTGGATAAGGAAAAACTCCNTTTAAGAGCAACTATTTTCTTATATTAAAATGTTATGATTTTCTTAAAAATTTCTTACTTATTAATCCCCAAATCCCTAAAAATTTCAAAAACCTCATGAATTTGGGTTCGTAAACAAAAGAGTGACATAATTAAGAAATAGCAAGCCATCAGAAAAAGACATCAAATAGTTAATGCACACATTAAAGAGTGACATAATTAAAAAACAGTGTGACATACTTAAAAATAATGTGACATCAAAGAGTTATATAATTTAAAAATAATGTGACATAATTTTAAAAATAGTCTGTCATAATTAAAAAATAGTGTGACATCAAAAAGTGACATAATTTTAAAAAAAGTGTGACATCAAATACCAGATAATGGGTATCAGTGTCTGTTTGAAAAAGATGAATATGAAAAATAAGACATGAAAAAGAATAAATACAGTTTCAATCAATATACAGTACAAACGTTAACTGCCAAATATATTTTTGTAATCTTTTTAAAATTCAATCGATTTATTGCCCATTAAAATAAGAATCAATAAAAATAGAATCAAAAATAGAATCAAAAAAAGAAAAACAAACTACTAGATATTGCATAAAATAAGTAAGGGTATTTAGGTACTACTAAAATATGAAAATTTAAAAATATGTACTTAGCCACCAAATGTTTTATAAAAGTATACCTACTAACTTAAAAATTTGGGCAATAGACCTTTTTCAGGAATATTTTCAAAAAAGTGTACCTCCCCCATATTTCCCAAAAACAATCAAAAAAAAATATTCGCAACAACCCAATAATTGGATGGTTGGTGGCTCAAAACCAAATCAATAAAAAAGGAAAATTTGGAAGTCGATCCTCCTATACGGACTTGTTTGTACTTAAGTCTAGCAAATAAACTTATTTGTTATGAAGTTCATTTTTTGTCAATTTTACCTGACTATTTCTTACCTTTAAAAGTGAAATAAAATTAAAAATTAAAAACTCCTAAATTGAATATATATATATATATATATATATATAATAACATTAAAAATAAAAAATAGTAACATTAAAATATAAAAAAAATTATCTTTTAAATTCAAAAAATAATACCATTTAAACACAAAAAATAGTATCATTAAAAAATAAAAAATATTAATATTGTGTATTAATATTTGAAAACATAATAGTAACATACTTAATAAAAAATAGTAACATTTAATATTAATTTTTTTTTTAAAAATAGTAATATTTAATATTAACATTAAAGACAAAAAATAGTAACATTCAAACNTCAAACATGACCAAGAAACAT